TGTAGTGCCTGCCGCCAATCTCGTTTTTAAGGCTAGAAGTCCCTAATTCCAAAATTTAGTCAAAATCCTTCCGCTGGATTTCAAGATCTATATTAAGACAGACAGAGAAATAGACATAGCTCGTATACATAGGATATTAAAAAGTATAGAATAAACAAAGTTAAATGTTGAAATGTGTCATTGGTCAGACGAAGATTTGACCAACAATCAATCGTTTGAGTGGGCGAAGCGGAGGCGTTCTTACGCAATTGTTTACTGACGTCACGGGGGTTCTGTCAATCTGACCTACACAATTCATAACAATTCATAGAGTCGTTACACACATTGTATCCATGTGGTAGGGTAGTATTTGTTACTTTATCATTAAGTAATCCAAGTTGATGGGAAATATTAGTTTTATTCAATGTGTTTTTTTTTTCAAGAAGAAAGCCGCCACTGTTAAAACTTGCCATAAGTTAGGCCAAGTCAGGTTAGGGTATGTTACGATATTAAGCTAGGTTAGGTTAGGTTAGCTTACTTAATAGGAGTTTGCATAGGACAAAATTTAGTGACTTTTCCCTAATGAAACTTCCGTGTTCAAATCATGAAATATTTTACCAACCTAAAAATCATATCCAACACGGATTTACTGAAATCAAAGCGTCTCGAACATTTTCAACACCTGACCTTTTGTAACTATACAACCATTTAAATAATTAACTCCCTAATTGACTGAGATCATCATATACATTTCCTCAAGGTCACCAAGGAATAATGTCACTTGAAGTAGCATCCGAGGTGAAATAAGCAAATGGATTCCTTTCACTGCATCAGAAGCGGCTTCAGGAAGCCTTTGTATTGTAATATCGTGAGGAAACGACATGAACTTGACATTCTACAGTTGTCTCCATCTGTGATTGGGATTTATTACTACTTTAGTCACGACAAGACTCACCTGTTGTATCCGTCACGCATTTGATAACAGTTTCAGTTACACAATTGGAACGGTTACCTAAGGCCTGGTAAATTATATCGATCAGATTTTTAATACATGGGTACTACAATGTTGTCTCCATCTGTAATTGGGATTTATTACTACTTGAGTCACGACCAGACTCACCTGTTGTATCCAACGGTTGTGCCCAACTGTCAAGGGCGGTCCTAGACATATATTTTGGGGGGGGTCACCGGGGGGCCTGGGGGGTATGGAATACCCCCCAGCAAAGGAGGGGGGTCCGGGGGTTCCCCCCCGGGGAAAAATTTGGAAATAACGTGCTAAAACGAGTGGTTTTGAAGCTATTTTGAGGGCCTAGTTTAATGTGTTCAAGCTTCCCAGTTTATTTAAAGGTCAAAGAAATGTCTAAAAATAAACCTGTATAATGTCATGTTTTTGCATTATTGAGACTTGGGGTTTTAAGATCAAAGGAATACCGCAACATTACAACACATTCAAGCATTATTGATTTACGAAAACACCCTTTCAACTCATGGTAGATGTAATTTCCTTCCACCATGCTTTCAACTGGTGCCAATGTGCATGCTAAACGGAAAATGTCCAAAATCAGACCAAGATTTCGAACCAGAGAACTTATTTTATCTAAGAAGTGTTTAAGAACTTGAACCCAAAACTACTACATTATACCTGCCCAGTAAGCAACAGTTAACCTACACAAAGTACACTAACCAACTAACGTTGCTGTCGGCGTCCCGTCACTGGTACTGGTACCTCCTGGAGAATTGGTTCTCAGTGTTCTCATTTTTTCTACGCCAATGCCAGTGGCATTTTACAAGGGGTCAACGTGAGAATAAAGTTTTTGTGCAACGATTTTGTAGTTTTGCTGGGAATTAAATCTGTCCCTTCCACATCTAAGTCTGAGACACTACCATTTTGTTGTTGTTTTATGGCTAGCAACATGCCAATTGGGTTGTGGTATTCTTAAATATGATATCAGGTGCTCTAAATATGAATACTATTTAATATTGAAAGTTTTGAAATTTGCTACGGTAATCATTGAATTACATTACTGTAATTACAAATTCCTAACGCTCAATACAGATAAATTAATCTTCAACTACCTTTCAAGCTTTGACTATTGATACAACTTCTTTTCTTTATCCAATACCCAAACCCAATTCAAGTTTTCAATCATTTAAGTTAAAATGAATGATAACATGCCGAAAAAATTAAATAAGAAGAAGAATGCGGCCGAACGTTGAATGTCTCAGCATCGGGCACTGCCGTTGCTGTATATGGCTGAAAGCGTACCGTCGTCTGCCAATCTTCCCTACTTTTCATAATATACAAAAAAACAGTCAGACTCGAACAATGAGTTTTAGGTTAGAGTTTGTAATTAGTCCTTACATTCACCACAAGTGTAAAGACAACAATTAATTTCAATTTGGCAGAACGATTTGCAATAAAAATTATTAAAGTTCCCCTGGTATAATAGTTTATATATATAAAAAATATTTTGGGGGGGGTCATGACCCCCCTGACCCCCCCCCCTGGGACCGCCCTTGCCAACTGTTATACAATCCACGCCTTTGATAACAGTTTCAGTTACTCGATTGGAACCGTTAGTTATATTGTTTAGACTTTTAATGTATTGGTACTACAACTTTTCCTCCATCTGTGATTGGAATTTATTAATACTCGAGTCACGACAAGACTCACCTGTTGTATTCGTCACGTATTTGATAACAGTTTCTGTATTATAATGTTATATTCACATATTATCATATGTTAAATGTATCGTATGTTAGTTGGAGGTAAACAATATTAGTCATGTTTATGTCTCAGTCTTGAATGGAATTGTAAATAAACTTCTAAACTTTAAATGTTGAAGCTTCTAATTTTATTTATATTTTCTAAATAAAACATGGTGTCAGGTGTATTTTGAAACCTAGAAGAAATAATGGAAGTATCTGGATTGTTTAGGTTGCCTGAACCTATGAGTTTTGAAGGAAATGTGAGTGAAAATTGGAAAAGATTTCGTCAGAAGTTTGAACTGTACTTAATAGCTACTAGTCATGGTAAGAAACTTAAGGATGAAATTAAGATTGCGCAGCTGCTTAATCTGTTAGGCGATGATGGCCTAGATGTATATAATACTTTTAAATTTGAAGATAATGACAAAGATAGTTTTGATTGCGTACTTGATAAGTTTGAATCTTACTGTTGTCCTCTGAAAAATGTCATTTTTGAGCGGTTTAAATTCTATAGATTGAAGCAGGAAGAAGGTCAAGACTTCAGTAAGTTTGTTATGCAGTTAAAAATAGCAGCTAAATCATGCGAGTTTCTTGAACCTGACAATATGATTAGAGATAGAATTGTCTTAGGTATAAGAGATAAAAGTACTCAAGAGCGTCTATTAAGAGATACAAAACTTGACTTGAAAAAAGCTATTGATTTCTGTATGATTGTAGAGAGTAGCAAGGATCAATGTAGGACTATTGTAGAGCACAATGAAACCAAACTTCAGGTTAAATACAAGACAACAGCTGCAGAAAAAATATTATGATCGGTCAGCCAAAGACTTAAGGGTTGTAAGAAATAACGAAAGAGTTGTCTTCAGAAATGAAGGAAGGTGGGAGCAAGGAAAGGTTGTTAACCAAGGACCAACTCCAAGAAGTTACTGGGTAGAAGGTGATAACGGGGCTACATTAAGAAGAAATCGCCGCCATCTGAAACCATCACTCACTCAACAAAACAATTCCCAGTCAGTTCCAAGGCAAGACGAGCCAGTACAACTAAGACCTCGTAGGGAAATCAAGCTACCATCAAGATTTCAGAATACAATATAATGGTCTTAAAAGAGGGGAAAAGTTTGGTTGGTTATTGTTTTTAGTTAATTCTTTCAAATTTGTTTGCTGTTTTTTTTAAAGGGGAAAGATGTATTATAATGCTATATTCACATATTATCATATGTTAAATGTATCGTATGTTAGTTGGAGGTAAACAATATTAGTCATGTTTATGTCTCAGTCTTGAATGGAATTGTAAATAAACTTCTAAACTTTAAATGTTGAAGCTTCTAATTTTATTTATATTTTCTAAATAAAACAGTTTCAGTTACACGATTGTACGGTAACTGTTACATAGATCGTTTAAAATTTTGTGTACCCCAGTTTATTTGGGTAAATTTCATCATTGGTGGCTGTCTAGACAGAATATGGGCAATTATGATCAATAATACATTTTTAACGAATACAAGCGATTATAATAAAGGAAACGTGCATTTTTTTACAAAAGGTACTTTGTCCAGCCTGTGATCATGGAACAACAAGCAAGAAGTAATAAAGTGGCATAGTGATATTCAACGTAACCTAACCTAACCGAATACAACTTATTCCCGACCAACGCAACATAGCCTTCCTCTAGCTGGGCAATTGAGTGGTAACGGTGCTTGCCTAACAACAAAATTGTTGGCAATTCCTTAGAGAAAGTCGGCAGCTTTTTGATTTTTCAACACTGAATCCAGGTGTCCTTGATCAATATGTTTGAGATAAATGGGTTTTGCAAAAAAAATCTTATCTTAGTAACAAAGCTACATAGGCTAACTCACTCAATTCTAAACCTACCACTATTCATTTTAAGTTTAAAATAAGTACATAAAGTACATCGAAGTGATAGCGAAGTTATTAAGTGGTAGCTTCAGTATCCAATAGTCAATGGTGGTAGTAATTGATTTGTAAACCAACCTAACCTCAACCAAACATTTTCCAGAACCTAATACAACACACCAAAATAGTGGAGCGTTACTAAATTAGATTTTAAAATATTAGTTTCATGGCATATATGTGGAAATAATGTTGTAAGTATCTAAAATTCCTACTCAGGGTTAGGTTGGGGTAGATAGTTTGGGTTGGGTTAGGTTGGGTAAGGTCAGAACTGAGACGTAACACAAAACCTCTATGGTTTGCTGTTACATACAAATTATATAGTGGTAGTGGCATTGACAATTTTCAAAATATCGATAAAAACTTTCAAAGTCCTAGTAATTGGTTCTGTGGTGTTTCAGATGCGAAGATGGGCGCTGCTGTGGATCCTTGTGTTGTGCCGAGGACAAACAGACGAGGACGAGAAGCGACCCTACAAGTTCGCGTTCGCCATCGAAGGATACCAACACCGCTCGGAGGAGAAGGGTCAGGAGATAAACCAACAAGTTTACTGTTTATTGGAATATGTTAAATACAATGTATAGAGTTAAGGTGTCTGGAGGTCACAGGGACGTTGGATTTAATTGGTTGCGGTTCCTGGTCCATTTAAATTGTGTTTTAAAGCTTTTAGCAATGTTAAAAGTGTTGAGGACACGTTTAAAGATATTGTAACTAACGTAAACTTTTGTTCAAAACCAGCATTGATAAGTACCCCAATGATAAATTGTTTTTTATTACACTGTCTCAAAAACAGCTGTCTTACGGATCGTTTTGAGTCCCAAAAGATAGCTTTTTGCGGACTAGTCCGTAAAATTGTACGGACTCGAATCATATTGTTATGTCAAAGCTTATCTCAAAAACAAATCAGCTGGTCTGATCCTTTAAAATGCTTCAACAATATATACACAAGCTTTGTTTGTTTCTTGTTCCTTTTTAATCAAACGGTTTTGGTTATATTTTGTATTTTCTGCTATAATATATGACAATGTAATGAAAAATATTGTTCGTAACTCGTCCTAAAATGCTTTTTTGTGACTTAATCAAATTTTCGTTAAACACGATATCGTCCCGAAAAAACCTATTTTAGGAACTAGTAACGAAAACTACTATTTGGTTCAAGGATTGTCTCTGCCTGGGATTGAACCACCAATAACTTCAGGTTCTAAGGCGAGGAAAACAACTCCTTAACTACCAGATAGAAATAATCTTAAGTTATACAAAATTATCAAATTATTATATTCCGTTTTAATCAATTACAATGAAGCATTGCCAAGTGTACGCCACTACGATGAGATAATGAAAGGGAATAAGTATAATCAATGCTTAAGTTGACTTTCATAACCGATTATCGTACACTGCGTGGCGTCAACTTTACACAGCTGTATATTCCGTATTTTATTTTTTTTGCAACAGCTGTTGGTTGATTGTTAAAACGATTGTTTTATTTCTGTTGTGATATAACTGACTTCATTATTGTTTGTCAGTAAACCATCTATGGTCATTTTATCTATGGTAAAACGTTTGCTTTACATTTTTCGTTCATACAACGGTGTACTATTTTTTGTACATACAACATCACGATATCTACACAAAATCATAAAACCGAATTTAAACGCTGCGTTGTGCTGTCTGCTTCAATGAAGTAATTATATAAGTTTCATACATTAATGCTGTACTCGTGGTAATTTCCTAACTTAATCATTGACCAACTGTGGATTCTAGTCACTAAACGCCCTAAACGCGAATTAATTTTATGGATAATCGAAAAATAAATAGATAAACCCATTACGGATTACGCAAAGTGAATGGTTTAAGGGATATTATCTTATCAGCATTATCAGTACGTGTGGGACGATGAGGTCAGAGGTAGAGGTCAAAGGTAACGTTCTGAGGTCACACCTGCTAGTGGGCGATCCTAATTTTCATTCAGGAAATCGAAACCTGTATTCAGCCCTTGCAGACATTTGCTTGCAATAAATTGCCAAATATTTTTCGTTTTTGTTGCAATTTATGCTTTCAACAAGGTCAATGTGTATACATTACAAGAAGGAAATATTTAATATGTCAAATCTTGGATTTAGTGTTGTTTCAAAGTTACCGTAGAGAATACTTTTAATACATTTATCATCATGGTAGAACAACTTGATATAATTCTGAAGGCAAACATCGTTACTCATTTGGTATAGATTAGTGTTGTTTTTAGGAGTTTTCTAACACCATAAATTATATACCTAATTAATTTTATGTTAGTTATGTATTTCATCATTAGCAACTTATAATTTTCATGTTTTTCTTCGATTTGTTTTGGAATCCCCGTTGATATACTCTGTTGTAATTATTACCTTACTCTAGGTCAAGACAAGAGACACATATTGTGAGAAGATATTATTTTGAGAGTTGTCTAATTTTGATCATGGATTAAGCGGGTCTTCTTTTTTAAATTTAACATTACTATAGATGATACTTCCTTATTAACTTGCCATCCTTGTGGAGCAGCGAAAAAGGATTTTAAGTATTTTTCTATCAGGATAATTTAAATGTTAGCTTACTATCTGATCTTGGTAACAAAGCTACACAGGTCATCTCACTCCATTCTACACGCATCCTGCTTTTGCAGGTTTTACTCGCTGTCTTAGTGAAGCGGTTAAACAATATGCACAATTTATACAAACTAAACTAAAAAAAAATTGACTATTCATTTCGAGTTTAAATAAATAACTTAAACCATAAAATGTAAACCATATTAAAAATCTGAGTAAATATGTGACCAGAGACATGTTAAAAATATACATCAAAGTCGACTCGTAGGTGAGCGATGAATAATAATCATATTATTCATCGCTCACCTACGAGTCGACTTTGATGTATATTTTTAACATGTCTCTGGTCACATATTTACTCAGATTTTTAATATGGTTTACATTTTATGGTTTAAGTTATTTATTTAAACTCGAAATGAATAGTCAATTTTTTTTTAGTTTAGTTTGTATAAATTGTGCATATTGTTTAACCGCTTCACTAAGACAGCGAGTAAAACCTGCAAAAGCAGGATGCGTGTAGAATGGAGTGAGATGACCTGTGTAGCTTTGTTACCAAGATCAGATAGTAAGCTAACATTTAAATTATCCTGATAGAAAAATACTTAAAATCCTTTTTCGCTGCTCCACACAGTGAAGAAGGGTGCAGACTATAGGGTGGAGCATTCATCACATCCTAGATATATTACTTTGCTGTCAGTACGAGCTGCCTCCATGTTTCAAAATTTTAAATATATTTTATTGAACGATATGCATTTATTATAATAAAGTTTATTGAGTAAACTATTCCTCAGTTGTGCATAAAAAGTCTTGCAGTCTATTATTGTTATCAAACATCATTTTTAATTAAAAAAAATGAACGCGAATTAGGATTAAGAGTATTTTTCTATTTTAATCAAAGATTGCTCGAAAATCTATGATTGATGTTAAACTTCGGTATTGAAGTAATGGCATAAATTTAATAGAAAAGCTGTAACCAAGTTTTTGTTCGAATAGAAAATACTTATATGAACCTCCACAAAAAGTATTCTATTTTTTCCTATAGATTTGATACTATTAGTTGATTAGCCTTATACTAGCTACAGCTTAGTAAGATCTTTATATTTTGAACGGGTAAAAAAGTTAATGTACCCAACAGAAATCAGTTAATGACAGTAGAAAAGCCTATCAAAATTTCAACTTCAAATGTTTAACTGATTATCTACTCCTAATAAACTACTTAGTAAATTGTTAGTCAAATCTACATAAGTCTTCTCATAGCCACGCCTAATACAAGGCCGCAACGAGAGAAATGTGGCAACGTTACAGTTTCGGCCTACTGAGACAGCTGCACTAATTCAATGGAGCGTCTGCGCAATGTGTATGTTTACACGTTTGTTATCACAATGGCAACAAGCTGGCCGGTGCGACGTTGCCACATCAACGCCGCGGCCTTGTATTAGACGAGTTTATTACTCACTTATACCACAATCGTAATATGATTCATATACTGAATATTATTCAGGTTGAAATATACTTTAGATGCGTTGCCATCTAATATCGATATAAATAATGGTGATCCTTACAGTGCTATTTTGCCCTCACATGTTGACGTGTTAGTTAAAAGTTTCTTATGTTTCAAGATGAGAAAGGCATCATCATGGGAGAGTTCGGATTTGTGACTGGAGACGGAGTCTATCACGTGACTGTGTACGCCACTGATGAAAACGGAAACTTCAAGATTCTCAAGATGAAAAACTACTACATCGGACTACGTAAGTGGGACATATTGTTGTATTGTGGACAAGTGGGTGGGACACATTGTCCCACCTTCACACCCTAGGGCACTAGACTATAGCTTACAATTACTTCAGACTGGCCTTAGAGGGTCGAGGCATTTTCACATTCTTGATATCCATTTATTGGTAGGATTAGAACCCGGGACTCTGGGGAACGAAAACCACTAGACCAGCTCACCCCCACATTCCTCTTGAGTCCCAATTCTAGCCACTCATGCTGTATACAGGGCTGTACCGAAACTGCCACGACGTTTTATGATCATAATCCATACCGAAACTGCCACGCCAATAGTGAGGATTATAAGGGTGTTTTTGAGAATGCTAGAAACACTGAAACTGCCACGGCGGATTCCTCAGGAAGGGGAGGTTGGTTTGGCAACGTGCAGGGAGAAACGGGACTGAGAATATCCCTCACTCATCACAGTGACGATTTTGAAACACAACACTTTACGTTGCTCATAACTTAGTTAAATGCTTTTCATGTCGCTACTTAAAAGAGGTCATACTAACTTTGTACTTATTTAAATCACGTATCAATAGAAAAAGTCATTTAACTACCGATGAAGTCAGAAATAATTAAATAATATGTTCTAAAGGATTAAAATTGCAATGGAATGTAAAATGTTTCTTACTAAATGTATTATATGAATGCTCTTAACCCGTTATAGTGAATTACTGGCGTTAAAGAACTCGATAAACACATATTTTATCATTAGATTTGAAGTTTTAAGTTTATAAATATACCAAGGTGTAGGTAGGCATAGTCAAAATTGCACAAGAAGAAACATAATCCAATGCAAATAATAGCACAACAGGATACGTGTCGGAAGTATAAATAAAACACAATTGTGATAAATATGTTTATCATATATGGAAAATTTTAGTAAGAATCCAATCAAACAAATTGAAATTCACTTAGTGTGCAGGTTTGCTGGGGCTGCGGTGGAGGTAATATATTTAGAAATGAGCTGGGAATACCATGAAAACATGCTTTTCAGCAATGAGTTGGAAATACTGAGCGCACTGCGTTCCAATTGTCTTAGGAATTGGCGTCGAAGTATGAGATCCTTTGTGATGACTAGAATACACAGAATTGAGTTCGAGTCTGTCCAGATTTTGTTTAGTACGAAATACAAATAAAATACAAGACTAGGCCAAGAAATATACAGATACAATTATACTTGTATACATAAGGCGAATAATGTGCAGGTTTACACTAATAATACCAGATAAAAACTTCATAATTGATAAGTATACATTTTAGATATGGTTGATAAAAAATAAATCTTAATTAGCCTAGGCTACTTGTAGTGATAATTCAGGGTCACCTAATTCTGCCAACCTAGAAACCGGGAATAGCACGTGAATTTTAACTATCAGGAAAAAGTCCATGAGTCCACGTATAACTGTGTGTATATAGACATTAGATATTTTTTAATTTAATTTAGTAAGAAACCGGGAAATAAAAATGGTCAAATATTTTCCGTAAAATCCACCCGAGAACACAGAGTTTACACGTTTTGCGTAATCGAAAAACGCCATTGCGAGAAACTACTCTAGAAATGACCACGAATATTGGCGCAATATCGATAGATCACTAAGCCGCAAGTGCAAGATGATCATTAATTTTTCGTCGATCGCGAAAAATAGTTACGGGTGTTAAAATAATCGCTGGAGATGAATGCGAATGTTGCCGCAATTGTGAAATCATCACCGGTCATCATCATTGCTGTCGTAGTTTACCATCACAGTTATTTCTGTGTTTGATCATGTTTGATGGTGAGAAATTATCACGGATTTGGCCACGATCGCAACATACGATCACGGATGTTCGTTAAAGTTTCTTACGACGATTCTCCATTTTTAGGCGTTTCCGTGATCGCAAGTAATAATCTCGGTCGTTTCTATGGTCACAGAAAATTGTCACGGATGTTACACCTGGTGGGAAATCAACACGAATTTGCTTCCCATTTTCTCATGTTTAATTATAATGAAATGAGACTCGGTGTATGTTTTTGCATATTTATTTAGTAATATACCTCAATTATAAATTTTGTTTATTCACATATACAGGGCTGGGCAAAAGTATGGACATCACTAGTTAACTTTTTAATGGGTTACGCCAAGAAAACAAAACTCTGTAAACGTCTCTATATCACGCAAGTGAACTTTTTGTTGTATTCAAATTTTGTTCTTAAACCAAAAATAGGTTATTTTGGTGGCCCCATCGAGTGTCACCTCATATTAATAGGCCATTAGTCGAAGAAATATATATCGAAGAAAGAATATCGACAAAAGCTAGAGGTCTCTATTTAAACTCAACCCACTACAGTGACTGAAGAATGGTACGCGTTAAAATCGTTTTAGTTACTGTTACTCGTGGTTATATATAATGTGTGAAGCATTTTGCTCGACATCCTCCCCGATTTTTTCTCTAGCAAAACCACTTATTAACACCACACTTTGTATAACAAAACGGCAGCCGTCTACTAACAACGCCGCGCCCTTTCTCTTCGTTTCAAATATCTTATTCTCCATCGAAAGACTATCAACTAAGTATAACTAACACACCAACACCCTTACTACTAACTCTCTGAAGGATGGCACAAAACTGTTGAGAAATACCGAATTTGAAAAATATTACATGAGTCAAGCTAATAGGAGGGCATTCCACTGAGATTCCACGTGAACGCCCCTCTGCAGACCATGGAGGTTGGTACAGCATTTGTAGGTTCTGCAACCTAGCGTCTTGGGCGAATAAAACTATTTTTGAATATTACAGTTTTACAGTATTGTATTAGTATTTGATCACCTCTAGTGTAATTAAAAGCGTCGATCAGATCATATAAAATACAGTGTTATATAAAGTGGTAAGTGAACATAAAACTTGTTTCTTAGTGGTAAATAATTATTCGTTAAAGTAAATATATTCTCAAGAGACGGAATAAATACTTATAAAGTAAATACTCTAACAGTCGCAACACTAAAAACTTAAATAAACATAAAAATAACTCCTAAAATATAAATACGAAAGGGCAAATCAATCACTTATTTTTCCAATCAACGTATTATTGTGAAAGAAATTAAAAGGTTAAGACAGAAATGGGAATTTTAAGTCTCCCGTTTCTCCCCGTCTATCTGGGGAATCCGCCGTGGCAGTTTCAGTGTTTCTAGCCCTCTCAAAAACACCCTTATAATCCTCACTAATTGGCGTGGCAGTTTCAGTATGGAGCATGATCGTAAAACGTCGTGGCAGTTTCGGTGTCCCCGTATACAGGGGCGTCTCACGAAAAACATTTTGGGAGGGGGAGACACTTTGAGTTTCCCAACTATTTTACGCGGATTTCCCAACTATATTACACGGATTTCACAACTATAATTCGAATTTACCAACTAATTAATATGAACTGTATACTAGGCCTTACTGACTATAAAGTGTGTAGATATTGTTGCTTCACACAGTTATTATGGTTTATAGTCTTGAAATAAAATACCCTTTTTTGCAAAGCTTTAACAAAATTATACAACTTTACAACACAAAATGTTAGTTAAGTTTAAAATAGAGCATTTTTTATATGCGTATTACTTTGAACCTATAAATCGACTAATGATTTATATGGCATTGGATAGACTGGATACAAAGAATTAAGTTTTATTATCGTATCAGCTGATAACCTGTATTTTTAAACAATAAAGTTGTGTTATCCACCCATATGTTTTATTGTTATTCAGCTATTTCGGTTCAGCAAACTGAAACATTCACATATGTAATTTGTATGTTTACGTAGATTACACAAAAAACCTTTTACAAACTGAAGTTCAATTCAATTATAACAAAATCGGATGGACAAGCAATCACCACGATTAGATGGCGGAATGCTTGTTAATGTGTAAATTGCAACGGTCATACGATTCAGTAGGCTTAATTTTGTGTTGTTGCCAAATTGCTGACATGGCAAACCCCAATATAGTGGTGCCAAAACCCAAACAATCGTAAAGCTAGACATACTTACTTGGTGGACCATAAATATACAGGGTTTACGTTATTGTGTATTTATTTGTTTTACAGAATAATGTAACGCATTGCTAATTTTATATAACCATTTTCCTATGTTTACATTTCAGTAAAGTTATTAGTTTTGACACTGTAGAACAAATATTTTCAAGGGACCTAGAAGTAACTGGACAAAGAAGGGGTTTAAAACAGTAAAATGATATGTGTTTTGGCACTGTCCTCCCAGCCATAATATAATGAAATAATATGGAACTTTTGACTGTGGAGAATAGAATTTTCATTTACCCGTATGGACGAACTAAATACTGGGGATTTTAAAACGATGTCTTAGGTCTCTTTTTGGCGTTGCCTAAAATATTAGCTTGGAGTTTTCAGAATACAGTATTTCGTTTACCAGAATCACTCAGTCATAAAGAAACCTCATCTATAAAAACATAATCATTTATGCACCTTATTTGTTTAAACATACCATGCCAAATGAGAAGGGACGCTGGTGAGCATGCTGGTCTAGCGGTAGACCGCGGAGCTCCAGTCATTAGGGTCCTGGGTTCAAATCCCTCCAATCACCAAAAAAGGAGATAGTAAATTTAACAATGTGATAATGCCGAACGTGTCGACTTAGCTTCAAGTTATGTACAAACCAACCCCAGACTACAGCTTAGCGTCCTAAGACGTGAATTTAGAAACAAATAAAACAAATTTATAAGAAACATTCCAATTCCACACGCACTAAGAGCGGCGCAACTCCATTGAGTTATAAAATGTCGTAACATCGTGTTAGGTCAACGCTGTACAATTACACTAAGTGAATGTTTACAGTTATGACTGCTTACCCCATTAACGGGTTGTTCGGACAAGCTTTTACGTAGCGTGTGTACTTTTATAAATTACATCCTTTCCATAATGTTTATTACTGAGCATCCTTTTGTGTCACTTGAACATGTAGCGCTAAAAGTCTTACATAAATTTGAAAATCTGTCTTTGATCATTAACTATACATACATAGGATTTTCAGATGAATTAAGTTTTTTTGATATTACTAAGTTAGCTTATAGACTTCTCATCCCATTGTAAATTTTTAATCTCGTTTTTCTGTCTAGTTCTTGTCCGGGGGCACTGATTGCTAGTGTCGACGAAATTTTGTTTCTATTATTATAGGGTTAACTTGATGATTTGCACTTTATTAGTTTTTTAACCAATCAGCGAGTTTCAGTTTATAATTAGATCGTTTTATTTAGCTAAACGAGTTTTTAAATGACTGAAATAACAAGAAACAAATTGTAAACAAAGCACGACCCCTACAGAGGACCAGACAGAACTAACAATACAATTAAGGATGAGGAATCTACTAAGGGGGTGTGTTTTACCTACGCTTAAAGTATAGAATTTCCTATCCATGTATACCAGATTGTAGCCAAATCCTTCAATCCTTCTATCCTTCTACTATATGTTTTATTCTCAAGTTTTCATGAATAACGTATGAAAAACAGTAATTGAAAACAGCACACTCAATTTGAGGCCCAATTCAACTACCTTCTGTAAATAAAGCCCAAAATCTGTATTCTGAAGCTTTCTACAAATCCAACATGGCGTTTGTATGTGGGAGTTGTTCTACAATTCTATTTAATTTTACCTACTGCCAAAGCTGAGAAACCTTTCAATACTAGGAATTACAAGTTAACATTGTTAACAGTAGACCTGCGGCAATTCTAAACTTCTGTATGAATGGATCATGGATTAATGGTTTAGGAACATGCCTCTTTCATAATTAGTGTAGCATATCTGATTTTAAAGTACCAGGGATTTGCATCAGGTATTTTGAGTAAAAAATATACAAATACTCACTACTTTTACATTTGCGATTACTTTTTTCCATTTTTAATGATTTTATCACACCCAAGAAATTGTTATTTAGATTTGAAAATGTGTTACAGCTGGAGAAGGGACGACAGTGGCTCCAACCAGAGCTCCACCCCCCACGACAAGGGCGACTACTTCAGCTCCTGTACCTTCAACCACCAAATCTTCCGTGATTAAACATCTGGAGGGGCTGATGGGGTGTAGCGGATGTATCGTGCCTATCAAGAACGGTCAAGGGTCCAAAGGGACCCCAGGGGACCACTCCACCATCCAACTACGGCGAGGGACTTATAGAAAACAGGTTTGGAAACGGAGGGAACAAGAGTCCAGGAATTTCAGGAGGTAATGCATTTGGAGGAGGTTCCCCAAGCCTTGGAGGTGGGGGGACTTATACTGGTGGAGCCGGAGGAAATAGGGGTGTAAGTGGAACCTACGGGGGAACTGGAGGTGGAAATGGAGGTATTGGAATAACAGGAGGAGGAGGAGGAGGAGGAGGTAGTGCATCCCCAGGAGTTGGAGGAATTCAAGGAGGTGGAAACACCTACTCAGGGGTCGGAGGAGGAAGTGGTGGTGGATTTGGATCAGGAAGTCCCGGATCTGCTTCTCAAACTCCATCCAACCCTACTTCAGGACCTAACTCTGGAGGAAACTACGGAACACCCGGAAAATCCCCAGGATCTCAACCCACGGGATCGCAAAATCCCAACCTCCCACCAGGAATGTCAATGGAAGACCTGATGGCGTTACTCTACAAATTCAACTACACGTTGAAATACCATGGCCATCACGAGTCAGGATATAGGAATGGAAACAAAGAAGGTGGTTACTTCTTCAACGGGCGAGACGGGTTCGGGAGAAAATGTGCAATATATTGCGAACGAGTTCGGGTTTCAACCCAACATTACCTTGGTAGACTTGGGTTTGAAACATCCTGATACGCCACAAGGGGAAAATGAAGATAATGAGTTGAGGGGGAATGAGTTTAAATGGTTCTATAAAAGATGAGTTTTTGCAATTCTACATTAGAGTTGTAAGCTTAGAATGGTTTTTGGACTGTAAGTAGTAAGTGTGGAGAACTGTTGTTTTCTATATTTTATTTTACAATCTAGCCTACTGTCAAACCTGCATGTACACTCGATAAACACAAAAATATAAAATGTACATACAAATATAAATTTAATTTAATAAAAAAAGGTTTACAATTTTAATGTAATGACTTAGTATACCATATTTATTTATCAAACGTCGTGTCACTGACACACCTAATTTATCTTCTTAGGTTATTGCTTTATATAAATGTGTATGAGTAGTTATATTTTTTAACTTGTAATTGATAATTTGTAACATTCCTTATTTGTAAGGGTACAATTCAAATTTCCTAATAGATTTTGTACAAAAATAAACACGATTTAAAACCAAAAGGCTCATTTGCTCTTTCAACCCTCAAAACATTTAATTCAGAGATTGTCCTATTGCACATTTGAAACTTTGGAGTTGATACCAGATACAATAGAGGGCATGCCACGATTTATAAACATAAATCTGTCATTTTAATACCAGCATTCAGACACTGAACTAAAATCACAATGTTATATCATTGACTATTGGATACAGAAGTAGATTTCACGTCTAAGAGGACCAGCTGTAGCCAATTATTTATTAAAAAAGAACCTAGTTGTGTGAGACAGTCACAGAATGCGCTAGTGTCTAAAATTCTATATTATACCTTACTTTTCGTTCTTGACCAGGTTGATGGGTCATAATAGTTTTTGCTGTAACCATAGACAAAAATAATTAAATATAGACTGTCAGCCTTGCTACGGTTACCATGTTTACCATAGGTTCTGGCGCACACCGCTTGCACCGCCATGTAGTTACGGCGTTTTCTCTTTACGTAACTACACGGCACTTCCAACGGTGTAGTTACCTATGGTAACCGCAGCACAGCTGACGATCTATATTTAATTCTTTTTGTCTATGCTATAACTCATCATAAGTCATTCATTAAGTTTGACCATAGACAAATTTGTTTATGGTTTGACTTGGTAAACGTGTTTGTGTATTTGGCAGAATTTAGTAATTTAGATCAGCGCAATCTGTTGGTGGCTCACATAAACTATAATGATTTTGATAAAAAAATCTGGCTACAAATATATTATATGTCTACGTACAAAATTAGTGATTTTTGATGAATGAGATTCACACAGCACTGAAATAATGCAAATCCAATATGAATGGTCACAAAAAATCCCGTGGCGGATTAAAATAGTTCCGATGGATGTTCAAACACGAACCAAAGCTATCAGCTGTAACAGCATTTGAAGTTGACTATTTCGTCATCTCCTCAAAGGAATTTCCCACGAGAACCAACATTATTCCAGGAAACAAGATTCTGTTTAAAACTACTCTTTGTTCCACCAAGTTGCACTGGTTTCATTTGTCAAAACTGTGTCAATCGCGTGGACAAGGTTTGGTTTGTTTGAATGAAAGTCGTATACTCTGTCAACGTATTGGAACATTGAAGTAAAAAACATTGTAAATAGTTGGAGTAGAAGTTAGATAGTACACTATTGTTTTCATAAATACAAATTTATAAACGTGTCTTTTATTAAAAATGAATAGTTTCCAATTCGATACAAATCTAGATGTTCTGTAATGTACAGATATACAAACATGATGTTTAAATATACCTGAGTATTATATTTGATTTTTAAGCCATACAAACAAAATAATCACTTTATGTAATCTATGATTTGAATAAGGACACAAGGATAATAGATGTATTTTTGTGTACCCCTATAATTAGTACAACCATAAACGTAGAGATACTGACTAAATTGTTAATAAACGAATACCCAAAATTTTGTGGATACTTCTTAAAATTCATCTTACTCCAGATATTTTAAGTATTAAATTGAGTCTACATAAAGTACAGTGTTTTATTTAAGCTCTGTCTTGAAAAAATCAATGAAAATTATTTATTCTTGTGACAATAATTTTTTTTATTAAAAAAGAAAAAACTATAATTTTGTAGCCCACGTTCATAAAGTCAAATTATAAACAACACATTTTGATGTAATTTAAACCATACAATAGGAATTCATTTTTTAAACCAACGAGAAAAAATAAGTTGGAACATTTCGTTGACATTCTTTAGGTAATACATTTGGCAAAAACACTTATTGAAACATAATCACATACAAATTAATTTGACGTAGGCCTACAATTGCATGATAAAAATAAATAATATCATGTAAACTTTGTATTTTTTACAGCAAAAAAATTCTATTTTTAAAAATCGATAAATATTTAGTGTTTATAGGAAACATTGATCACTTTGGATAGCAATAAATAAAAAATATACTGACGAGATAACGATAAACTGTTGTAAGTCGGCGTTTTATCAACGAAAGTGCAAAGTCATAGATAATCTGGAACATTCAGCTACCAATAACAATAAATTTGATAAGATATTTTATATAAAGAGAGCGATTTTTTCTTCGTTTAGTTTGTTGGAGACTTGAAATCAAGTGACTCAAAACTGCCAATATGCGATACCACAAGGATTTCGATGTAAGTTATTATTTTTTATTTTTAAAATAATTTTTATTGATTTACCGTCTATTTTTTTCAAATCTAAAGTTATCCTAAAATATAAGTAGCCTATATTTGTTATCAATTATTTGCAAACCATTTCAATCGGACTGTTGAAGACGAAGCAGTGCAAATATTAAACCTGAATAACTTTTTGCTCATAACAAACCAAAATGAAATTGAAATAAATAATACAAGTTAGCTACATTTTAACCAAATGCAACTCCCAGTTGCTCCCCAAGTTCAACTGTACAATATAATCCATACTGCAGTATTAGCTGGATATAATACTGTAGTAATGTGCCTCCTGTTTTTGTACGACGCCATTAAAAGACTTTGCCGCATGTCTTATTGCATTTAATCAGTTGAAGGAACAATTCTACCGGTAGTAGTCTGTCTTCAGATTCGCAGTAATCTATAGAACTACAAATTTTGGTAGGCCTGAAATTCATGCTATCTGAACTTCTATCATCAGGTGTGATTCATTAGAGCTTTTTATTTTTAATTTTTTGTTTAACATTTAATTTAGATTTAATGATAGAAGTTTACACATCCAAAACTGCAGTTGCCTTTGGATAATGGAAAACTAGTTAGTTTAGTAACTAATGTTTATTTTGTCAAAACATGCTTTGGGTTTGAAATAGATAAATAAAATATTTAATCAAACCATTTAGATATTTAAAAAATATTTAGATTAAAAATATTTTGAAATATTTAGATTGTATTAGTAAATTAATATTACAACGGAATAGAGATCTATAATTTCTGAAGTTAACGTAAATGGTTTTGTAATAAATTATAAATTTTAAATTAAATTCATAAAAACATAACGATTTAAATTTAGAAAAAAATATGCATGCAAATTAAGAAATAGCTAAACATGTTTTTGGATCAAATAATTTGAATTTCATAAAGTTTTTATGACAAAGGTAAATCTGAAGTGAAATTTGCAGGCTCAGAGCAAGGATTTAAACATTTGTTAATTAACTTGGTCTCAAGCCAGATTATATACCAGTTTGTGATGGTGCTAAAAACTGGATAAAAACAGTAGAAATTAAATGTAAATATTTAAAAATGATTTGTTGTATTTTTAATTTATGTATATTAATTGTTGTCCTCATGATTTGTATTTTAGAATGTGCTATCACACATATTATACCGATAATTATAACGTGTTCCTTCATATTTACTTCATCAAGTTTTAGTCAGACCTTTTCATAACAGTTATTTAAGCTGGGTTGAAAAATATAATAAAATAAAAATACCCCCGCCGCAGCAAACCTGCATACTAAGCGAATTTCCATTTGACTGATTGGATTTACACTGAAATGTCTACTTAAAAATATAACATTTATTCTTGATTTAAATAGAATTGGTTTAACAAGTACTTAGGTTTGCTGCATCAGGGAGGGTAAAGCTGTTTTTTTTTGTAAAATGTGAATAGTTAGTAAGAAATAAAAACATTTTCCAAATTTGATCAAAATATGTTCACAAACAAGCAAACTACAACAGTTTACTTATTCTCCATAAGAATAACATGGGAATTTTAAATTTAAAATTTTTTGGAATTTTCTCCGTAACCATTAGGCGCATAATAACGCTTCAATATACTAAATTATTTGTTTTTTTAAGCTCTACAAAATGGTTTGGAAAGAAATTGCTAAATTTTATGTTTTTTTGGGTCAAAAATGGGAAAAACCTATTTTTACCCCATAAAACCCCCCGTAAACCCCCGTTCCCATGGTCCGATCATGCTGGATCGCGAACTCGTTCGAATAAATGTACGTTTACACGTTTGTACCAAATTTCATCAAAATCGGATCATTTTTGCTCGAGTTATCGTGCTGACGGACACACACACATATATATATATAAATATAAATATATATATATATATATATATGAATTTGAACGGATGGTGTTTTTGGCCTCTAGGGACCTCAAAACGAAAAAAAAATCGGTCCCGCGTCCAGGTCTTGCCATGAGTACTACGGTAATAGCTTATTCCCTATATGGGAAATTCGCTAACACAGGTTGTATTGCTGTTAAAGTTACATATGTTCTATAGTTTAATATTTTATAGTGTGGAAAAAGACCCAACGGCTTTGGAGGTAATATAGGGGTTACTTAAGGTCGATTCACACACATCAGTCCAGTCACAGTTGCATCCGCAATTTCTCAGTCAATTGTCCGTCGTTTGGTTTCAGTCAGTCTTCCGTCTCTAAAATTCACAGTAATTTATAGTCAAAATTTTAAAGTTATAAACCTAAATTCTATCAAATTATCATTGTCCATATTGTTGATTGTTACAAACAGTACTCAAAATACAAACGCAACCATTTAAATAGCAATAACACTATTTTCTAACCTCAAACAGTTCCGTCAGGCGTCCGAACAATCTAAAAGTATCGTTGGAAAGAAATCTGAAATTGACTGACGGATGCCAGCAGAGTGACTGACGGGACTGCAACGGATGAGTGTAGATAGCGCAATAGAAAATCCATCAAAGAAAATTTTTGTTAACTGTGACGTGCCGTAACTGATGTGTGTGAATCGATCTTTAAGCAAATCTTTTTAATACACGCTTCCGTTGATTATAAACAGTAATCACTTAATCTGGAAAAGTAAATTGATTTGCTTACTAAAGAAATTTAATTAGGTTGTGTCTTAATTACTCCCAATTTTTTTAAACTTAAGTTAGGTCAAGTTAGTTTAGATAAGAAATTATTTAAATGATTTAAGTATTTTTTAATATTTAGAAATTAGAAAATTTAGAAATTAGATTCCCTAACAGACTATACTTGCATATAAATGAGCTCGGGCAGCTAACACAGTCTCGCTAGTCAACTAGAGTACTATACTGTGTTATCAAACCTGATAAAAATTTTACCTCTTACATACACTATCAACGTTTTGTATTAAAGTTGCTTCAAAATCTTGCAATAATGTTCAAATACTTTTCATCACTCTGTATAGTTTATAGATTTTCTCGATAACAGCTGATACCAACAAAAACGATCATTTCAAAAAGATCCCCTTTCCAAGCAAGGACAAATGATTTGATGACTTAACTCTTGTTCTTGATTTTCTTTCCCTTGCTCCTTCTCAACTTGTACCAAAATAGATTTCCTACATGTCACTCATTTGAACTAGCTTTCACATAGTCGGATTTTATCAAAACAATTTAAATAACCGAATGAAAATATCGATCGATATATCAATCATTCGATATATCGTTTGGTAAGTTAGGTTAACCTAACCTAAATAACCAAACGATATATCGAATTAAACAATCGAATAATCAATATTACTCATTCGGTTGGTTTTGCCAACAGATTTGGAAGTGTACCCCTCACACAATACCTTGAGCATGCCCAGAAAAAATCCACTTCATTGCATGTGGTAGGCATACTGAAATATATTATTATTTACTATATTTCACAACTCGAGTTGAGCTTTCCATTTATTGCAATTGAGTTTAAATAAACTTGTTTGTCAGAGCTCAAACTTTGAACGCCATGAGATCAAAACCTATCAACGCAAAGGTGACCAAGTCAGAAGTGAGTATGAGCGACTTAACCCTGATGGCACTGTCACCAAGACCGTAGCCTATGGAGACTGTAAGGTAAGCTACTTAGATAAGTCACTCCACTTAGATAGCCTAGATGGATTTTGAGAGGTCTTTATACATACTAAGACATAGTACAATATTGCATACTTACGGACGAATCCTATAGGCAAGCATGTTTATTGAAAACCTTTTTTCTAACTCATGTGCATCGCAGGGGAAATCCACGCATACTGTTAGAACGACATTTTCCTGTAGATGAGTAGAATCCTTCATAAATAAAAATTGGCTCAAAAAGCACAAAGCATTAGTTTAAAATTAACATGGGTCTTATGGGTTGTTATGTTGGTGGCGAAATACAAACATAAAATCAAAACAAATGGTAGAAATTCCAGTTACATGTTTTTTAAACAGCGTAAAAATAGAGAAGTCTGTATATATATCTTACATATCTTTGGTCGAGTTTTCGACCACTGGACGACCTCTAGTATGAATTAATGTGGAATACAACAAAAATAGGAGTTATGACACACTTACAAGTGAAATACACTTGTGTTAGCAATGGGTAATTTTTACGTTTTAGTGTTGGAGTTTTATTGTGCGTGTATAATTATTTTTGAAAACTCTTCACAAAATTTGTGATAAATTTAATAATGGGCGCTACAAATTAACTCACTAGTTTCTCAATTAAACTACAATATTATAAAGATTCAAAGGGTATTCATGATATTTCTCCGGGCATTTATATAAAGGAAAATAAACGGGAAAACTTAAATCAGCTGAAAGATTTGTTATAAAGCTATGTAATGGCAGTTTGGCAAAGAGGAAATACGTGTTTAATTTTCACAAGAAAACCCCCTTTACAGGTGAAAATTTAAATGCTAACGTTTTGGTTCAACCCAAGAGCCTCTTAGAACAGGAACCCCCCTGCACTGTACCTAACTGTAGAAACACCATAAATGTAGATACCATAAATTCTAAATGTTCAAATTATTGCAGGAGGGACTTAAGTACCGCACTTACCACATGGGACTAGACGGCGTGGTACGGGAGATCCCTCAAGATGTGGTTCAACGAATGATGAACCTACAACAACAACCCCAGGTAGCTCCACCACCACCACCTCCAGCACCTCCTGCTCCGGAGAAACCAGCCAGGAAGGCATTTGCTTTCATGGTTGAACCAAAGGAAACTCAAGATGGCCAATCTATCTGGAGAGTCAAACCTTTGCACATCAAGACAAAGGAATCCGCCCCAGCACCTCCTCCTTCTCCCCCAACACCACCACCTCCACCAGCTCAGGCGAAGGTATTACCCTGGTGGTACGACACCCTCAAGGAAGCGATCAACGAAAGCATGAAGGAAGACAAGGCACGTATCCCCAAGCCGGAACCCCCTCCAGTGCCTGAACCCAAGAAGGTTTCTTCCAAACGCATCTTTGATTGGCTGGACGATGATTTCTTCGCTCTCAAGCCATTCAAGGCCGCCCCAAAGCCAAAGTTGTTCGACAACTTGTTGGGGGATTTTGACAAGCCGCTGCTAGACGTGTTCAACACTCCTCTGCTAGATGATTTTTGAAAAATAAATTTTTGTGCAATAAATTTTCAAAGTGTGATTGAAAGTGATTTTTTAATGCTTTTGGTTAGTAGCTGTAGTTCGAAACTGGGCCTAGCTGTTCTTTTTGATTGGGTTTATAACGAAACAACTGATCTTAGTCAGTAATAAAGCTACATAGATCCTTCATATACTGAAAACATTAAGGCTCTGTAAAATACCTTTTTTTCTTGTTCTACTAAATAGATTTTCACCTTTTAGGCGTCTTTTAAAGAACTGTAAATGTATATTATTCAGAGCTTTGCCCCCCCTAGAGTTTGATTTTATTATAGAGTTAATTTTCAAAGTTCCAGTGGTGTTGATCAATTTTCTCGATAGCGGCTCTGAATGTGAATTTTGATTAATTAACAGCCAATCCTTTAGTTGAATGTTTAGCCACAGTAACATATTTAATAAACGAAACAGTTTATTAGATGTATTTTAAATAGCCTGTCACTCAATTGGTAAAAAACAAATTGGTAAAACAATTGGTAATTTATTATTGATTAATTGACAAATTTATATTGGAGACAGTCAATATTCTTCCGCTTGAAGAGTTTTGTTAAATGGAATTTGCATGCAGTGCAATTTTAAATGGAATTTTGTTTTTGTTTGTGTTTTGAAAAATATTGCTTGCTTGGATTATTATTTTGAGTATGTGATTATTGTCTCGGAAGCAGTGTGGAAATACTTTAAAGTTTGAATGAAATAAATACCACCTACTCACTAAGCTATGAATTTAACTATCAAGAAAGAAGATCGTTTGGACTGTTTCCTGCCCAACAAATATGCCAACTTTAAAGCCAATTTTCTTAAATACAGCAAAATTAACCAACTTCCCTATTTTTTCCTTTTAATACTTATTAAATCCGGAGAGAGTAACTTTATGTATCTATTGGTTCTGCATTTTGGTGTCTTAACCATTTAAGGTTCTATTATTATCTTTTAATGCTTAACCTGAACTTATTTATCAAGGACCAACCACCTTAAAGCCTAGATAAGTGTATAAAATTAACTGCATGGAGTATAATCTTAAAATCTAAGGTAAAGACAGTTCACGGATAAAAATTTTTGAAAAAATTACACAAGACATTATATTTGGAACAGAACAACTAAAAAGTGTAAGCAAAACTATTTATTTCGGGCGTTTATCTTAAGTACATTTGCTTTTCATTATGAAAATGTTTTTGAACAAAATTCATCTATTAATTTCCTTCTGGACTACCACTTACACCTTAGGGAGTATACTTTTCAATCGTAAAAGTTGACACTCATTTATTTAAGTTAATCCAACCAGTAGAAAATAATATCAAGTTGTATATTGTTTTCTACTGATTAAGAAATGTAAACCACACGAAAGTGTACTTTCAAATTAACTGTAGAAACAGAAAATATTTAATCATGATGGTTTAAAATATGGTTGAACATTTGTTAGATACTTTTGAGATCGATCTTCGATATTTTTACCGTAAGGTTTGGAAATTGTAAATCTAGTTTCAAAATCATGGTATGGAAAACATAACACAGAATCGTAGAATAATTATAATAAATAACTTTATTTTACATTAATTCAACATAGTTGTTGATACTGGTTGACTTATGAGGACTACCTAAGAATTAATAGCCATTTACTTGTATGGTAAGTATCCATTTGTATTTTCACACTAAAAATGCACTTTAATTTTCGTCCATTTGTATATTACCCGTAAGTTTGCGTAGTTCAAATAAAGATATTAAGTAGTTTTCTTTAATGAGTGATTAATAGTTAAGATAGCTCTGTTGGTGTTTACACCACTAATACTAATTCTAATATACTACTAACTACTATATTGATAATTAATTTTTACAAATTTGTGCAAAACCCACCATTTTGTACAAAACATTTTTTTCTAATTTTGTAATCAATTTCCAAAACATATCACGATACAAATAAGATACAAACAATTAGGTACCATATACGAAAACCAAATGCAAAATAATTTTATAATTATAAAAATTAGATTAACTTAGATTCTTAAGACTTTACATCTTTATCCAATGATTGAAATCTAGGTCTAACGTTCGTTAACACATCAGGCATTGGTAAAAAAGGTTCATGACTGCCTTTCAGCCGATGGTATTCTCTTCTTAATCTGTCAACCTGGAAACAAGAAAGAAAAAAAGTAAGTTTTATGACTCTGAATAAATATGTTTTCATCCGCATGTCTTTTCGTAAAATGCAACCTTTGGGGAGGCAAAAGTATCACTAGACAAATTAAGTCCTAAAAATCAACCTAAAAATCAAAACACCAAACCAAATTATCAACCTATTATTTTGATGTTAGTGATTCGAGACATTACAAAAATGAAAATATGGTTTGTTAAACAGTTACAAAATATTAACGTGACTTAAAAAACATTAAACTATTAATAATTGATTGACAGTCATAAAGTTAAAGCTTTACATAAATGGTTTTACATGACTGAGTTTGATCATTAGTGAAAAGTCGATGCTTTTTAAGACATGTTATGACTTTTTTATATTAAATATCAATTCAAATGCAAAATTTAATTAATATATATTATACCTGTCGGTACCGAAGTAAATACTAACATCGGTTGTTGGTACCGGTAAAAAGTTTAGATCCTGGTCTAAATTGAATAGCCTCCAGGTATCGCCACATAACTATTATTCACACAAAAAGTCACAATATTTTTAATTTTTTAATTTTAATATTATCAACTTACATGGACGTTTATGGTGAACATGGTGAACTTTTTGGTTATAAATTCATTTTCTACCGCAAAGCATAACCATTCGTTAAGAGCATTTTTCATTCTTCTTGACGGTGGATGATCTAAGGGTAAGTATTTTGTAGTTCAGTAGGCCTACACTTTTACACAGTACACTTTTAGCGAATTTCCCTATAGGGAAGTAGCTATTACCGTAGGTCTCATGGTAAGACCTAAGCCCGGGACCGATTTACTTTTTCATTTTGATGTCCCCAGAGGCCAAAAACACCATTCGTTCAAATTTTTATATATCTATATATAGAGATATATATATATATATATATATATATATATATATATATATATGTGTCCATCCGCACGATAACTTGAGTAATTTTTGTCCGATTTTGATAAAATTTGGTTTGAAGGTGTAAGGCAGGATAAACTTGAACGAGTTCGCGAACCAGCTTGATCGGACTATGGGAACGGGGGTTTATGGGGGGTTTTATGGGGTAAAAATAGGTTTTTCCCATTTTTGACCCTAAAAACACAAAATTTCACAATTTCTTTTTAAACCATTTTGTAGAGCTTAAAAAAACAAATAATTTAGTATATTGAAGCGTTATTATGCGCCTAATTGTTACGGAGAAAATTCAAAAAAATTGTAATTTTAAAATTCCCATGTTATTCTTATGGAGAATAAGTCAGCTGTTGTAGTTTGCTTGTTTATGAACATATTTTGATTGATTTTGGAAAATACTTTTATTTCTTACTAAACTATTTATAAAAAAAATCTTTTTTACCCTCCCTGTTGCAGCAAACCTAAGTACTCGTTAAACTAATTCTATTTAAATAGGAAATAAATGTGCTATTTTTATGAAGGCATTTTAGTGTAAATCCAATCAGGTTAATGGAAATTCGCTTAGTCTGCAGGTTTGCTGCGGCGGGGGTATTTAGTTCAGTAATGTAAATAGTAATTTTACATTTTTTATGAAAGATTCACAAAACTAGCTCTTGGTCTTAGTATGAAACTGAAACTGCACTTTATAAGTTTAGGTTAATCTGTTAGTAGGGGTTTTATCGGGTAAAAATTGTATACCCATTTTCAACTTTCTTCTTCTTTTTTGACTAATTTGTAGAGCTCGAAAAAAATAATTCAGTATATTGAAATGTTATTGTATACCTAACGGGTATGAAGGAAATTCAGAAAAGTTTTAATTAAAAATTCCCATGTTGTTCTTACGGAGAATAAATAAACTGTTGTAGTTTGCTTGTTTATGGATATATTTTAATGCAACAAGGCAGTTTTGTTCATTTCATACCAAGCTATTAATATTTAATAAAAAATACCACTTATTCTTGTGGCCTTCCATAAAAAAATACCTTCCCTGTGGCAGCAACCCTTGTACACATTAAAATTAATATTTTTTAAATAGGAAATAAATCTTAAAATTGTAAGGGAATATTTTAGTGGAAATCTAGCCAGGTAAATGGAAATTCGTTTAGACTGCAGGCTTGCTGCAGCGGGGGTATTTATGTTTCAAGCAATATTTTCAAATATTGATTGAATATTCTAAGAAAGTAATTTTTACAGGAAGTCAATAAGTAAAATTTGTATATGCCACAATTTTATTTTTTACAAATTTAAAGGTGAACTTTCACAAAACCCCTATTTTATAAATTGTGTAAAGTTTCAAAGCTGCGGTTGTATGAGTGGGCAGTAATGTAAAATCAAACGTATAAACCTTTCATACGTTGCTGTTTTGTGAACTTTTTTCACACGCCTGTATGAAAAACGATGTATTACAGTAGCTTTTATCAATTAGGGTTAGTTTTAAATAGCACACATTAAAAAACACATGATTTTAATTAAAGTCGTATGTAAAGTTATGTCAGAGCAAGCGACACCTCAAAATGTTCCTAAAAAATCATCCGACTGCAATCATAACATTTAGCAATAACCAACTTGTCTATTAATTCCTTCCAAAATTGTATACTTATATACGAAACAAATTAGGGGTATATTGTTTTTCTAAACTTACTCCAATATTTTCCGATGTAGCCAATATAGTAGCCACGCACATTGAAACTTTCGGGTCGTCTTCGCCTCCGTTTGGGGATGGTGAACCTTTTTGGGAGGCAAGACCTGCTTTTCCACCCTCGTGCTTCGTATACTACCCCCTCACTGGATATAAGAAAACTGTAGAGTAAAATACAATTAATCGTTATACATTTTACTAACGAGAAAGTTGTAAGTTGCGTACTAACTAATTATGTCATGTTGTAGAGTAAAAATTGAAAAATCTATACATACAGTATTATTAATACGCTACATGAAACTTTGTGAACAATAAGGCTTTTTTGTTTTAAGATTTAACCCCACATATTATACACCAAAATGTTCGTCTAGGTGTGTAGATTTGCAATCTGACCTTACATATTTTGAAAAAGTCCCTTGGGCTCTGCCCCAGTGGCTTTTAAAGTTCCCATGTTATCCTGAAGAAGAACATAATTGTTTACGTTATGATCAGCTGGATAATGTAATTTCTGTCAATGTTTTTGAAATTGATGGAAACGTGTGCTACAAACATTACTGACTTGGTTGAAATTAAATATTTACTATTTAAATTTTGGTTTGGTGCTTAATATTACATCGGAAAAATGTGAGAAAGCCTGGACAGTTTGATATACTAAAAAGAAAACTAAATTAACATTGTGCTGCATTTCTTGAGCAATCATTGAAAGAGCCGATTTGAAAACTATGGAAAAATAGGAAAGTCTTAGAACACCACCAAGTATAAGAAATAGAAATAATGTTTTTTTAATTTATAAAATTGTTATTATGGACAACTATTATAATGAGGCTATGAGTGGGAAACATTAGTTGAAAACACTAAAAAACATAACCAGCTTTTGAAAAATGATAAGATATTTACAAAAGACGTTTCACGTTCAACACTACGTTGTCTTTATTTATTGTTTAAATACCGTTATTTATTTATTGCCTAACGTTTTCATGGTCATATCTTCAAAGACGGGTGGCGGATATATCCGCTGCTTTTCTACTCATCCGCGCACGGGTAGCGGATATATCCGCATAGTTAAAAACGAGTAAAAAACTATTTTTACAGTATGAAGTGTTCCATTGTGCTTATTTTATGTATACTTGTATAAAAAAACAGAAATAAGGAAAATTAATTTATTTTTCCCGTTCTAAGTCTCGATTTTACGCGTCCGGGAAGGGTTAAGCTAAATAAACCATACAATGTATTATATTATATTTATTACATTTTTTACATCGAGGTAACTGATTGGTGATGCGCATCTAACAATCAAATAGCAGCTAGTTTGACGAGAAAAGTTTATTTTTGACGATTAAAAACTGAATTTAGCTGACATGTATCTTTTAATAATATTCCTTGCTGAGAAACAGCTTATCTAAGTAACGAACGCACAAAAAAAATCTCATTCTTTTCTACTTTCACTTTCGTAATCAGATTTGAATCCACACTAAAGTGATCGTCTTAAAGAATTGAATTGCATTATATTTGCATTTTATGTGGCATAGTTCTTGATGTGGAGGAAGCCTAGCTTCCCCCTATAATATTGGTATAGTCTGTATGATGGAATCTGCCTCCTGATGAGGTCTATCTGGGGAATGGCTAAAGGTTAAAATCCCCAGATAGACGAAGGGTAAGGAGAAAGGTTCAATCATATAGACTATAGAGGATATAAAACTTGTGATAAACTTACTATACACATACTTGTATGCAATGTCAGAGCGATAATTCAAGCGACCCTTTCTACTCTGCAGATACGCCAGCTGTCTCTGGCACTGCCCATAGTCATGACAAGCCTCGGTGTTTGTGTACCCCAAGAAAACATACGATGCGGGAGTCCAAATACGATAATACTTCTTTGATTGTCTCATCCCCCTCCATTTTCTTCGAGCGACCAGATCCAAAGGCATTGCTCATCCTGAGGGTGAATCAAACACCTAGTTTAGTATATTTGAAATAGTAATTAATGGACTAGATGACTTGGTACTGTCTACTACTGGAACCAGTGATCACAAGAACTTATTTAGTTTAGTAATTACTTTGTCTTAGATGACTGTGAAATCACACAGCTTAAAGAGAGTTTGTCCAGGGTTGAGTGATTTTTGTTATGTTTTATTACTATCTGTATGTTTACGCTTAAAAGGATGGTCTTGGCTTCGGTCCTGTTAATTTTAAATGTGATATTTTGGTTTGATAGCGTTATAAATAACCCAACAAACATCATGGTCGATCAATGAGAACGGGGTTTGATGGGGTAAAAATTGGGTTAATATTTGTAACCCTAAAAATTACTAAATATCTCAAAAAACCATTACGTCGAGCTTAAAAAGAAATAATCCAGTATATTGCAGCTTTGTGTACGCCTACTGGTTATACATTTTTTTAATTTGGAAATTATTACGGTATGTTACTTTTATTGAGGATATTCAAATCGTTGTAGTTAGCTTGTTTATGGATGTGTTATGGTCAGGTTTGGTCATTTTATTTGTTTCATACCAAGCTATTGATATTTCACAAAAAAGTACTTTATTTAATTAGCTGTACCAGGAAACTTAAGTATTTATTACTAATGTTATAATTGAAAGGAGATGAATCTGACATGTTAATGAAATTTTTGTGTAGATTTTATCAGAAAAACAAAGATTCTGCAGGTTTGCTGCGGTGTACTTTTAATTTATCCTTTCATATACAGAGTTGTTAAGTTATCTTAATAGTAGAATACAAAATGTAGACTACAAATATTTGATTTGGTTATGCAAGAGGTATAAATTTTTCCAAGACCTAATAAATTGGTTCTCCAAAGTAGGCCTACACAAGTATTCGATATGTATTTTTACATTTATTCATCTCTCAAATGCATACTGATTCAAAGCTGTTTTGTTCACTTTGTGGGCTTAAGCTCTTTTTGGAAACATGTACCATTTACTGCACATGTTCTAAACAAAAAAACTTTAAAAAATCTTTGTAATTCTAAACCATATAGTAAAATTTCACACATGCAATGTTTTAAAATAGTCTCATCTTTATTTTGTTAGCAAGCCTTAAGAATCCTTGGAGGCTAGCGGTCATTTTGGATTAGTTTCAAACAGCTGATGAAGAGTCATTTATCATCCAAAAATATTTTTCAAACACAAAAGTGACTGTAATTTAAATATCTAGGGCACTGTGGGATCAGACATCTCCCTTGTAGTTTTGTAATTGTTTACCAAGAGAGTCCTTAAAGGCTAACGGCCATCATGGATATGCCTGCCATAAGAGCAATGGTAATTTAAAAAAGCCGCTGAAGAGTTATTTATCATCTCAAATATTTTTCAATACCAATGAGATTGCAACTCAAATATTTGGGGCAATATAATAAGATTCAAAATTTTCTTTGTAGTTAATTATTTTATAAGCTATCACAGCTAGGCTCCAAGTAGCCTACTCTTAAAATTTGCTTTAGCACCCCTTTAGGAAACTAAAAATTAAGTCTTTGGAGTAGTTGTGCACTCTTCAAAGTAATAGTTGACTGTACTAAATGTATACAATATATATCATTACAATATATTATCAATAAACGTTTACTTACTAACGAAATTATTTTGTTGCCACAACCAATTTGGAAAAACATATCCGCTGTTGCGTCACAAATCCAGTGAAATATAAGTCTTATCTTTGAACTGAACATAAATTAAATATTGCATAACATAGTGCATTTTGATACGTTTAAATATTGAATAAATAGTAAAGTTGTAATGAAAGATATGTTAGAATCATTTGTAAAGGAAAATTTGTACAAGTTTACGAACTAGTCCAATTTAGTTTAAGTTTACCTGTTATTAAATAGTAAAACTTCAAAATTGTGGTTAGCGTTCTTCAACTTGTGTCTAACGTAATTAATCTAAAGCTCTATTATGTATGAAGCTCTTAGCATTAATTTGTGGAAAATGAAATACATTTATAACGAGAGCTCGCCCCGTGGTCGAAAACTCGACCAAAAGTATGTATTGTGCAAACTTCTCTATTATCCACGCTGTAAATAAAACATGTTGATTAGATCATGTGACCTGGTTTTCATGTGGTTTGTGGGGTGAATATGGATTTGTTGCATATTTATCATGACAAAATCCAACAAAATTCAGATATTTTCAGTTTTACTCATTCTTTGAAGACACCAAGAGAGTTATCAAGACCCATTATCTTTAATTTGCTGACAATATAAAACTGTTTGTGGAAAGATGCTTCCCTCCATGACTTGAGTCCTTGCTGAAGGCTCTTAATGATGTCTCAGCTAAGACTTGACCAAAGATAATGGTGAATCCCACCGAGATTAAGTTAAAGATTTTTAGCATTAAACAAAATTCTATGGATATTGAATATTTCCTAGATACTTATTGACTAGTCATATGAGTTTGGGCCTGATATTAACCACATTTGTGCAAAGACCTTTGGCATTCTCAAAATAATCTGCTCTGCAAGACACTGAGCATCCATGCTGATCCATGCCTGCTAGATCCAGTTTAATTTCTATGTGTGACAACAACTAGGGTACAATTTGTATTTAGTCGCCCTTACCAGCGCAGCCTTATTCAATGTCTTCGTTTCGTCCCAATACGAGAAGAATGAGCGTACGCCTAGTATAATAATAATAATAAAAATTTATAATAATATTATTAATAAATCGTAATATAATAAGCTAACTTTCTGTTTACACTTTCTTTAACCACGTACAATAAGTACGAATAGCCTGAATATTAACTCAGTACAAACCAATTACATATTAAACCAAGTGCGATAATCACATACTAAAATTAACGATGTACAAGAAAATATATATTACCTAATTTTAGCAGGTGTCCAAGATATGAATTTTATTTAGATCAAAAACCTACGTGACGCAATAAGATGCAGGCGACGCGCGAGAGTATTTGGACGTGCAAAAATGTAATATTCATTTTAGGGACTTCTCGCAGTATTCGAAAACAATAAGGATATTGACCACCTACGAAGGGTATGGCATATTTATGACCTTAAATGGCTTCTTCTGGCCTTCAATAATGACGTGTTTATCCTCGGAAGTCAAACGATGATTACACTAAAGTTTATCAAAATTAAATTATATCCCCGTTTATTAATTTATAAAACCACCCATAGAAAGTGTACTTTTTAAATTTTGTGTAGTAATTTTTGTTTTTACAGATGTAAAAATATAAATATTATGTATGAATAATCATGACGTTAAGGGTAAAATATTTAATTATCTAGGAGAAATTAACTAAAATCAGATGTTTTCGAGAAAAATAAAAAAAGTTCTGAAATCGTGACAGAGGGATTGCTTCGTTTCGTTAGAATTAATTGAGTTAAATCTAACTATTATTTGACTAAACATACCACTTTAAAGAAGATGATGCCGATGACCAAAAGATAATTTTGGACGTGATAAAATATAAACATGTCATCTAACTAGACAAAACCGGAAAAAATAAAATCATTTTGCAAACTATTTCTTTCTCTATCTATACTGTTTCCAAGTACAGATTTTTATTTTGTATGTTTTGTCAGCAAAGGGGTTTTTTTTTACTTTATTGATGACTGGCTATAAAAAAATGTATAATGATAAAAGATTTCGTTTTACTACATATTCTCGTCAGTGTATATACATCGGTTTTAATAACAAAATTCGTGGAAACCCTATATGCTTTTTTAAATACTGTTTAACCGTCCAAACAGGTTAAAGAAACAACGCTTGGTCCCCTTTATTAGTCAGTCAAGGAACACCTACAAGCATTGTAGTACCTGTTTAAATATCACAGTGGTTTGTAATGTGATACTTTGTATGTAGACTATGTATGCTAGGGTATGCATAAAATAACTTTTTTGGTCGGTTGCAATCGTATTTAAGTTTTTTTAATTAAGTATCTAACAATTGAAACACCATATAAGCAGCATAGCTTGATCACCTAAGGAAGTGTTTTCACGTAAATGAAAAATCTAAAAACAAAATCAACTCGTTACGTGTCAGTCCAATGGGACTTATATTTCACTTCACGATTTTATTAATAACACTTACAATGTTAAGATGAATTAAACAGTTACTCTTAAACCAACTTAGATTTGAAAAGATATAATAACACGAAAAACAGTTTCATAAATCTACATTATTTTCAGACCATAATCCTTTACTAAAGGCCGTTGTTCTTCTAACGTTGAAATAATCCTTAACAATCCTCTTTCAAATAACGTTATTCAGTACATCCTCCAAACATTAGCTGTTCAGAAAGGTATTTAAAATTAAATTTAATAATATTTTATCAAGTGTGAACTTAATTATTAACAAAAGTTTACATTTTGTTTTCGTGATGATGTACTAAAACAACCAGGCAAAAAGCACCCATAGTGTCCCATTTTTTGTTTTCAATTATTGTTTTTGTCCACCACAAGAGAGTTGGTGAACCAAACAAATGCATGTTTGATACATCAAACTTGAAACGAACTGGTCATGTCCATTCATTGGAACAATGTTTGTATTGAATTCTTTCTCTATTTGCGTTGACTTCCGCCCTAGTTTTAAACATAATAGTTTGTAAAATCAGTCTTATCTATCAGATTGGGCAGTGCATCGATTTGTTAGATCAATATACAGATAATAATGACATATCAAACATAAATCACTATTAAATTACGCATTGATACCGTACTTGTTTTAATGCTTGTAAATTATTTGAAACAAATTTGACCCAAGTATTTCAGTATTAAAGTTTTGAATTAGGAAGCTAGATGTCGATGGTTCAATGCAGCCTGGAGCACTATCTCATGGTCCCAGTTACTAATAGCTTGCCCAATTGAATAACAGCATGTAAACAAATATTTCTAATGACTCTTGAAACATTTACTTACACTTGAACTTTTAACCCAATACGTTTGAAATTGTCAAATTTTGGTGTTAAATTTGTACTCGAATGCCGTGAATCGGACTTTGTACCTTAATTTTCCTACCTAGGTTGAAACAATTTTTTAAGTAGTACATTTAAATCCATAGTAAGTAATCCATGTTTTGTCTTTTGTTTACAATCTGGTTGTGGTTAAAAATTCGACTGAATGATCAGCTGTTATTAAACTACAATTCACATTTGAATCAGCTGTAAGGATCACTTGAATCAGCTGATCAGCATCACTGGATCTTTGAAAGCGAACTATAGAAATAAATTAGACACTAAGAAAGGACGCAAAAAAAAATTATTCGTGCCTGTATCAGATTATGATCAGCTGATTGTGATGACCAGATTATGTGCTTGAAAATGACACCTCAATCGTAAAAAATGATTGAGTAGGACAGGTGAAAAAGGGGTGTAACAGAGAAAAGCCTTGTTGCCTTAAGTGTATGGATAGAAGAACAGTAACTATATAGGCAACATTAATAATTAATTTGTTAAACAAAACCTATTGGAAACATTTATAAAAATCAAAAATATCGTCGTATTTCAGATTCAGTTTCCTGACAGAACTAACAGTAGACAATTCAACTTCGGTCTACAAAGACAACCCGCAGTCCTGCTTCAAAAGTCATGTCCAAAACATCCGATCTGACTCTCTATTGTCAAAGGAACTAATTGTTTTTCAATATCTTTATTTGTTTAATCTAACAATTAAAGTGCATGTAATCGAAGTAGGACCATATATTGATTATTTTGTATCCTTCTCGACTATACTTTGACTTGTATACTTTGAGTGTGTATATGCATTGAAAATGTGTAAATGCGACATCTATCTATATAAAAGGCAAAGCCCTCACTGACTCACTGACCGACTCACTCACTCATCACTAATTAATTATCTTACTTCCCATTTATCTAGGAGGCTGAAATCTGGTACACTGATACTTTAGGCATTAAATAGGAAAACTAAGCTGTTTTATATTCTGATCGGACTCTCGGGCGCCACCCCAGTGGGTCTGGAATTTCCCATGTTAATCTTATGAGTACTCATATTTAAATGGAATTAATTAATCTTAACAGCTGTTTCAATTAAACAAGTTGGTTCTGTTCTATGATGTTCAATAGCATTAAAGTTACAAGAATTACCAACAGGGTGCAGCACTATTATTTCTTTTACATTTATGACAACTGCTAATTTGCAACCAAAAGGTGAGTGAGCGTAGCGAACAAACTTCAACCTGGAGGCGAGTTAGCGTAGCGAACGAGCTAACCTGAAGACAAGTGAGCGCAGCGAACGAGCTCCCAACGTAAAAATGAGTGAGCGTAGCGAACGAAGTTTAACAAGGACATGATTGAGCCATGCGAACGCACTCACTTATAAAGTTAAACGGGACAAAGCCTGCGGGTATAGCTAGTAACTTAATAAAAGGCAAATTATTGATAATTTTAATCTGATACAGTTAGGTCTTAAATCAACAAGTTTAGTTAATTTTAAATTTATAAGTGTTATCTATATAATAACTGTGTTAAACAAACATAATCTTTGAACGATAAAAGCGTATTACGATAATCTTTTTTGCCCCAGAAACGACTTTTGAAACTTATTAAATACGTAATTTGAGTTGTATTTTACCATAAAAAACCTTGTGTTTAAACAAGACAAGTACTAAGAAGT